GATGATCTGTATTATGACACATATTATCAGCACAATTACAAAAATCTTGAGGAAAATCAATCTGCCTTAAGTTGCTATTACAGTAATCAAAATACTTATTTATCTGTTCTAAATCCCTCTCACCCCACATAACCTTGTTACGATAAATGATGGATTCAATAATTTTAGGTTTGATAAGATTAATATTACACTCTATTAACAACGGAATATGGTCTGAAACGTACACGCCATATAAAATAGAAGCACTATTCACTAACTGTCTGGCGGCCTCCGTGACAACACAGTGATCTAGCCAGCGGAGGGAACCGTTTGAGGAGCCAGTAAAAGTATGCGAGTCTTGCGGCAAAAGTTCCATATCAATGCAAGACCATGATTGATCAGCACAAGTCAAAAGTAACTCACGTGAGAATCGTGTTCCTGGGTGTGCGTTAAAGTCTCCCAACACAAAGACCGACTCCACTTCACTGCTCTCAATCACTGAGATTATCTCACTTAGACAACTCGTAAACTCGGTACGATTTTCGACACAGTCAGTGGGCATGTACACACTAAATATTAGCAAAGACCGCTCGCCCTGCGCTATCTTAATACACACGATACGATCACTAACACAATTTATAACCGATACCGACGCAAATAACGATTTCCTCCACAGCAGCGCCACACCTCCGTACGGTCTTCCAACCAGAACACCATCAGAAGTGTCCACCGCTGATTTCCCAGTGTACGCGAAGTCTCCATCAATGGTTGCTAGAAAGGGCACGTCGTGTGGCAACAGCCAAGTCTCCTGTAATGCTATCACGTCGGCTCGTGCACACAATTGACGTACGCAATCAGCTGATCGGAAAATTTTACAGTTGAATGTACATATTTTAACGTTTGCCATACAATCCATTATATGTTTGTTATATTCTCAACACTGTGCTGCTTATTTACTTTTACTGTATTTTTCTTAAAGTAAATAAACTGTCTAAACCGTATGCCTTCAGGCCATATTTTGTCATCCAAAAATTTATTCATTTTATGTTTTGAGACAAACAATTTAAATGCGTTATACGGTCTTTCAGATTTCATATTAATTTTCTGAAGCTGTACCATTTCTTGCGTCTTATTTTGAATATAATCACAAATGTCTCTTTCAGTAGTCTCTTTGTCCACATTCGTGATAAACAGCGGAATTTTGGAATCAGCTGCTCTAAATTTAAAGTTATCATTAGGGCTAGCTGTTCCCGTTTTTCCTTCGAACCTATTCTTAGACTTTTTACTTTGAACCAGCGTCCATCCATCCTTAGAGCAATTTTTAGACCATTCACCTTGCATTAATACTTCCACCATTGTTTTATTACTCTGTGTTGGTGGTATTAGATTCGTATTCGTGTAGTTTGCATTTTCTATGAATGTCGAGTTAATCGGAGTGGTAGCTGACTCATCGGCAGCCGGTAGCATCTGTTCGCGTGAGTGAACGAGAGAGCGATACTTCGGTCGATTATCAACACTCGTTGGCTGCGTTTGCAATTGTGAGTCGGCATCAATCTGTGAATGATGTGACGGTAGATGCGGCGACAATCCAAACGGTCCGCTGTTTAAGTTATACCCTCCTCCTCGAACTTTATTCACATTTGTGTTAAATATCGGATTTACTATCTGATCAGCTGATGATTGTATGATATTATTTTCTTTAAGAGCCACATCTAAGTCGTTCTTAGTGACAAAGTTATTTTTAATGTCATTTAATTCCGCACGCAAAATTAACAGGTCCTTCAGTAGTTTCGTGACGTCTACATGATCGAAACACACAGGGGGCAGCTTATGTAGCTCGTATGCTACAAAAACTGGCAGTTCATCGGGGTCCATAGTTTTGAAAACCGCTATCATGTCTTCCAAATCCTTTTGTTTTTTATCTTTTCGCCTCGACTTTAATCGTTTACCAATCTTCGTCGTACTGCATAACAAATTCTTTGCCTCGTCGATTTCCTCCTCGGAAAACGCCGACACACATATTCTTATGAGACTTTCATTATCCATCACGTCATGTTTATTACGAATAAACGCAAGGACTTCCGAAATAACCACATTACAGTTGGCACACTTAATCGTATCGACAGACATTATCGCAGGATCACACAACCGTGACCGCTTGCACTGAACTCGCGCGCGAGACTGATGATATTGAGGCGTCACGTTTTTTAGCGTCAAACAGCATAGTTATTTCTTAAAAAATTGCTGGAAAAATACTAAAATTGAGTTGGTCATAAAAACAATGAATGAAAGTGTAATTATTTTTTAATATTTTATTGTATTGATCATTCCAAATATTTTTTTGATTAAGTAAAATACTCAATTATATAGCTTAAATGAGTTAACAATAATTTGAAATGGTTCTTGTGCATACAACATTACACATTGGACATATTAAAGTATTTAGATTGTTATTATTTTTCTTTTCATTTTGTTTTTCTTTTGTATTATTATTATGTATTAGTATTTTGTATTAGTATTATGTTTTGCTGACTGAAAGAGACTGGGCCTCACGACACAGGGGATCCCAGTGTGGGATATAGAGTCATACAAATATGTAACGTGAAGCTTTTTATCAATTAACATATTTTTATTTTATTTTATTGTTTTCATCAACAGGGTCGCACCCCGCTCCACGTGTCTGCGTGGCAAGGTCACACGGACATGGTGAACCTGCTCATTAAAGTCGGTGAGTACAATTTTAAGATTTAAAGTATTTTTTACTATCTTTTACCCACGTCCCCGTAAATATTTTCATTTTTCTTTACTACAATCTGTTACATCTTTTTGACTAAAGACTCACTCTTACTGACTAAAAACCATCCCGTTCCTTCTCCCGCACGTCGAGCCGGAGCCCCGGTTACCCGTTAGGTTCTCCGCGACTCCGAATCGGCATCGGCCCTATTGGGCCCCATCTGTGGTGGTCTGATGGCTCTTTGAGGCGCGCGCGGAACGCTCGGCGCCGTACGGTCGGGTCTGTTTCTGGTCGGACGGGGAGCCACCCATGCTCGCCGTCCGCAGGCCCGCGCTTACGGTGGCCGGAGATCGTCCCGCGATCCCCGACGCCCGGTGTGTCCTTCGCGATGGCTGGGTTGCGAGGACACGCGTCCCGCCTCCTCCTTAGCTAGCATGACTGCTTCGCAAAAGGAGGAGACGGCATCCCAGTCCCCCTCGCTCCGCATCATGGCCCGCACTAGGCCCGGACGCGAGAGGTCGCCATCGCCTATCACTTCCCTGAGGGCACGGCGGTGCTCAGCCCACGCAGGGCATTCCGCTACAGTGTGTTCCACCGTGTCCTCAGGGCGGTCCTCGCAGTGATGACACCCGGGCGTTTCCTCCCGCCCCATCAGACACAGGTACCTCCCGAAACTTCCATGTCCGGTGAGGACCTGCGTCAGGCGGTAGGTGAGGACGCAGTAGCGTCTCTCAAGCCACTCCTCGAAGAGGGGACTTACCGCTGCAATGGCAGCTAGCCCAGTATGACATAGCTTAGCTCAGTAAATTTTTATAAAGAGGTGAAATAAAGTTCGCTCAGATCGCCAGCCCGCCCGCCCGCTAGGGGGGCAGCTGCCCCCCCTGCCTCCCCCTCGCTACGCCCATGCGCCCCCATATTACCTACTTAATTATCGCACTAATATAAGTACCAAAATAACACGTTTTTCAATTTTTGTTTATCTCTTTGTATTGGCTAATCTCTGAAATGGTTGGACCGACTTTGACGGGACTTTTATTGGCAGGTAGCTAATGTTCTAAGGAGTAACATAGGTTTTATTTAAGGAAAACGAAGATCAATTTGCGGGTTCTGATAGTAAATAAATGAAGTAAATATGTTTGTCCGCAGGCGGTGCATGTGTAGACGGCCGCGACCGTTGCCTGCGCACTGCACTCCACGCCGCGGCGTGGCGCGGCCGTACCGCCGTACTGCGCGCTCTACTGCAGCACGGCGCCTCGCCCGCCGCCGTCTGCACGCAGGGGGCCACGCCACTCGGTGAGTCTATACATACATACATACACGCGCGGCGTGGCGCGGCCGTACCGCCGTACTGCGCGCTCTACTGCAGCACGGCGCCTCGCCCGCCGCCGTCTGCACGCAGGGGGCCACGCCACTCGGTGAGTCTATACATACATACATACACGCGCGGCGTGGCGCGGCCGTACCGCCGTACTGCGCGCTCTACTGCAGCACGGCGCCTCGCCCGCCGCCGTCTGCACGCAGGGGGCCACGCCACTCGGTGAGTCTATACATACATACATACACGCGCGGCGTGGCGCGGCCGTACCGCCGTACTGCGCGCTCTACTGCAGCACGGCGCCTCGCCCGCCGCCGTCTGCACGCAGGGGGCCACGCCACTCGGTGAGTCTATACATACATACATACACGCGCGGCGTGGCGCGGCCGTACCGCCGTACTGCGCGCTCTACTGCAGCACGGCGCCTCGCCCGCCGCCGTCTGCACGCAGGGGGCCACGCCACTCGGTGAGTCTATACATACATACATACACGCGCGGCGTGGCGCGGCCGTACCGCCGTACTGCGCGCTCTACTGCAGCACGGCGCCTCGCCCGCCGCCGTCTGCACGCAGGGGGCCACGCCACTCGGTGAGTCTATACATACATACATACACGCGCGGCGTGGCGCGGCCGTACCGCCGTACTGCGTAATCCAAGTGCGGAAGAGCCATCGGCACGAATGGGCCGGCTCGATCGGAGTGATCCCACGGCCGACCGGAAAACCGACGAAAGAAGCTTGCGTTATGTTTCGTCATGTGAATGAGGTTACCGGCTCTTTTGCATCGCCAAACTTGAATTGCCTGTCAGTCCTATCTGTCATTAAGGCTAGGTGCTCCTTCCAAAGTGCAGTTTCGAATGGAGAAAATCGAATAATAGGACAATGATTAACAGTATATTCTTGTTCCAGGTATCGCGGCTCAGGAAGGTCACGAAGAATGCGTCTTATGGTTACTGCAGCATGGAGCTGATCCCATGCAAGCTGACCATTGCGGTGAGATATGATTATTTCATTTGATATTGTGATCGTTTTCGTATCGGTGTTTATTTATTTTCGACCTTATTACTATAGGAAAAGATCGCTATGCAAAAAATCCTTTATGAAGTTGCTCTATGATACAATAATATCAAACAGATCCGACTGATCGTCACGTAACTGCAACAACCTTTAACCCTTTGAGTACCGTCATTATAGACACAATTAAACTGTCAAACACCGCGAGGACACCAGTGACCGCAACCTTATGTTCTTTAATTGTGTCTATAATGACGGTACTCAAAGGGTTAAAGAACAATAGGTTGCGGTCACCGGTGTCTTCGCGGTGTTTGACAGTTTAACTTTATCGTGTATGTGCAATAGATCTCGGTCCTATCGGTCATTAACGTCATGCAAACCCTAATGTGAATGGCGTATAAAGAAGTCTTGGCATCGGTTCCATGTCGGTTAAGATTATATGTGATGTAGAAGCTAAAAATACTAATTGGCAAAATTATGAGAAAACATAAGTGTGAGAGAGCCATGCTTCGGCACGAATGGGCCGGCTCGACCGGAGTGATACCACGGCCGAGCAGAAAACCGACGTGAAGCAACGCTTGCGTTGTGTTTCGTCGTGTGAGTGAGATTACCGGAGGCCCAATTACCCTCCCCTTCCCCAATATCCTCAATTCCTGAATCCCCAACGATCCTCAAACTCCTAATCCCCAAAAGGCCGGTAACGTACTTGTAACGCTTCTGCTGTTCCAGGTGTCCATGGGCGACGTCGATTGCTTACCATCAGGTGATCTGTCTGCTCGTTTACCGGCCTATGACATAAAAAAATGTTTCTCTAATACCTCTTTTAACAACTTCAAGTATTTTAAAAGACTAATAAAGAAGAGAATAATAGAACCCTTTTACAGCAGTTTTTAGGTATATATAATCTACATATTATAAAATTCACGAAAACAACTCCCCATAACACGTATCACCATCCCCCCAGGTCGTACCCCCGCGAAGGTAGCGTGGCGAGCAGGACACGCCAACATCTGCCGCCTGCTGGAGCGCTGGCCGGCACCTGCAGCTTCTGCAGCTTCAGGAGGTTCCGCAGCTTCTGCTGCCCCCTCAGCACCTGCTCATCACGATCTACCATCTGCAAGGCCGCCTAGTGCTGGTAAGTAGTCTTTAAAAATAATTTTGACACTAATAAAATTATGATTTCGAGGTTTGCTCGACTATTTTCGAACCACACGGTGACGTGGTTAAGAGCTCCGATGTGATTTAAAACTAATCGAGAGTATGCGAAACTGTTTTCGTTAATGTTCATTAATCCCATGATAGTTCTATCATTAACTACCTATGTTGTGTCGTCGTATGAATACTGAAAGGCTACTAAACATAACATCACGCCTTTTATCCTCGAAAGGGTAGGCTAAGGTGCACATTACGGCACTTAATGCCATTGTATAATGTAACACCCACTTTCACTATTTATGTTATGAGTCCCATGTAATAGGGGGTGAGCCTATTGCCATATACAATTATAGACTCCATGATACTACTGAATTTTTTTTTAAATCCCAGTAATATTTAGTCTGACCTGCGAGACGTCTTGTCCGGCAGTCGCACTTGTTTGCAATTATATCATTAATCTATACCTTTAACAGGGTCCCCAGAATACAAGCGTCGTAGCGTGCATAGTTCTAATTCTACGAAGTCGTCGTCCAACATGACGGCCGGCTCAGCTCGCTCGCACTCTCACCACGACCAGGCAGAGACTGGCAATACTGAGAAGGTATGTTTATATGGATTATGTCATATATTTTTTAAAACTATTTTTTTTAATGACGTTACTCCACACTAGGATTTTCTCCTGTGTCGTGTGTGCGTTTACAAACATATAAGTTCACATACACATGACCCCCAGACCCGGAACAACAATCTGTGGATCGCACAAAGAGTTGTTCCGTGTGGGAATCGAACCCGCGACACGTTGCGCGGCAGCCAGTTGCTCAGTCACCGCACCAACCGTGCAGTTAATCTAAAATTACATTTTTATAAAACAAATAAAAAAAATTAATAATTATTTTAGATACTACGTTTAAAAAAACCGACGTCAACACTCTTTTTCGTAGTCGATTAATTAATATACTGAAACCCTCTCCAAAGTGTAACAAACTATTTTATGAAACACACGTCAAAATCGGTTCAGCCAATAGCTAGATAATCGTGGGCCTCACTCACACTGAAACACAATGCACACAACGTTGCGTTGCTTCACGTTGGTTTCCTGCTCGGCCGTGGTATCACTCCGGTCGAGCCGGCCCAGCAGTGCCGAAGTACATCTTCTTACTAGAATTTAATAGATTTTGTCATTTTCATCTCTCAAGTCTTTCTCACAGAGCACATCATTTGAAAGTGTCTCCCTGTTGTGAAAAAGTGTATAAGTCAATATTTAGCGTGTTATTATGAAACACTTTGTATGTATGCGCAGGGTAACCGCGCGAACCTGTCCCTGTCGTTCGCCCAGCAAGTGGCGCGGTGTGGCCGCGGACGCAGGGACCATGTTCAACATCACGACATACCGGAACATCATGTCGTCGAGAAGGACTCTAAACTCAGGTGTGTAATGGAAATTAAGTTAATATTAATATTCTGGTTTATGCAACAGAGGGTAAAGTACCCTAAGAAAAAAAGGAAAAGGAAGATCCTCCGATAAGGCGAGGTGTTTGTGCCTGGCGGGCATTCTGCCAATAGTTCTTCGTTGGGATTTTCTATCCGTGTTAATTCGCATGTAAACTTCACATGTGCGTTGTAGTATGTCTATGTGCGTGAGTTGTCATTTGACATGTCATGTGTCGCCATACTGGTAACTGTCCACGTTGCGTTATTTGAATAATGCAAGCAATTTGATGATGATGAGTCATGGAACCTTACAAGTTAGCTCTCCGGTATGACTCGAACGTGATCGACCATTCTCAACCAGTTTACTTGTAGAATCCTTAAACTGTCTAACACCGCGAGGACACCGGTGACCGCAACCTATTGTTCTTTAATTGTGTCTATAATGACGGTACTCAACGAGTTAAATATTATTTAAATGTATAACAGAATTTCAGTACTCGACTACTATATAATTTGTTATAGTTTCGGCTTCCACACCTAATAAAAAGTACTTTTTCTTTTTATTATATTTGATTATATCTATGGCAGTATGAAGATATTAACAAGTTCACTCTTAATTTCCAGAAGCTACCTAGCGAACGAGCGCGACCTAGAGCTGGGCGCATGGTCGCAGGCGGCCCCCGCTCCCCCCGGACACATGTCCCCCCTGTACGCGTCTCCCCCTCGCACTCCCGTCAGTGATCTATGCAGTCCCACGCAACCTGCGCTACCGCCCAGTTTTGGTAAGTATTTTTATTGAGATTAAATTGATTATGTTTTTCGACTTACTTCCGTAACTCATCTCCAAGTGGCTCATTAAAAATGATGCGCTTGTGGAGGCCCGGCTTCAAAGCCTCGAACATAGGCGTAAGGTTGCATGCCTTTCGGTATTCTACCGGATACATTTCGGAGAGTGTGCGGGGGAATTGCACAGCTTGATTCCCCCCTAGTCCTTTCCATCATCGTATCACAAGATAATCGGCGAAGCGTTACCGATTTATGGTAGATGTTCCGCCCACACGCACAAAGCGCTTCCCATCAAGCTTCCTTGTGCGTACTGCTAAGGAGGGAATTCTTTGCCAGAGTCTGTATTTCCTGAAGGGTTATAACCTGGGTGGGTGTCTTCAAGGCCCGAGTGAATAGGTTGCTTATGGGACGACGTGCTCCATCGTAGACCGCATCATCGCTTACAACCAGGCGAGATAATGGTCGAATTTCGGCCCATCAAATATATAACTGTTTGACGAGAAACTCGACTGGTTACAAGCCAGACCACTCGGTCCGGCTTGACTCTTGACCTTTGTACTCACAAATGCTACTCAATTTTATATTGTACTTAAATATCGTGCCATCTTTTTCATCACTACATAGTATAAAACAAAGTCACTATCCGTCGTCTGTCTGTCCCCATGTATGTTTAGATCTTTAAAACTAGACAACGGATTTTGATGCGGTTTTTTTTAGTAGATAGAGTGATTCTTAAGGAAGGATAATACATGCATGTTGCACCCGTGGGAAGCCGGGGCGCGTCGCTAGTTGGACATAGGACGAAGAAGTAATACATAAATATATCTTTCATGCTAAACGGACTGGATGCAGATCGCTTCCAAACGGCCTATCTAGAAGTCATTGGGGAGGCCTATGTTTAGGAGTGGACGTCCTGTCGTATTAGCGATTAATGATGACGATAAATAAAAATCCCACTTTTCTTTGTAATTAATTATTTTATCAGCGTATACTCTAAGTCTTTTCTCCCCCTACAGGTTCTCAGCCCCCAAGTCTGACATCGGTGCAACCAGTTCTGACCGACACCCACTTCAATCGAGATACCCATATGAGGATCATACTCGGACGAGACAGCAAACCGCCGCAGGATAGGAGCGAGAGGTCAGTTAACAGACAGATATATATTATTATTGCATAACAGACCCCCTATTCGAGCGACTTATAATACAACAGATCCCTTATTCAATGGATTACATAACATCACGCCTTTTATCTCCGAAGGGGTAGGCAGAACGCATTACGGCATTTAATGCCACTGTGCAATGTTACACCCACTTTTCACTATTAATGTTATGAGTCCCATGTAATAGGGGGTGAGCCTATTGCCATTTACGCTCCACATTACACATTATATTGGTCTTCAAACATAATTGATAAAAAGTGTGTATTGCATTGTATAATTCACCTCTGTCTAGTCCTTCAGGGGTTAAAAGGCACGATGATATGTTATAATTAATTTTCAATGGCCGAATAATTTAGTACTCGGCTTTTGTAAGGCCGAATATTGACACGTTCCTTTAAAATTTATTTATTTCCTGCTTAAACTTTTGTTTCTTTTAAACGTATTTTAATGGAAATATGTTAATCTAAGTGGGGATCAGATGTTAGTTTTGAAGTAAATTTAATGCTTTTGTAATGTGTTTGATTATGCTAACAATATGTAATCTGTAATGAGTTGGACGAATATTCGGCTTTTGGTAAACAAAATTGAAGACCTATTTTGGCAATAATTTGAATTAGTGTGCTCTCTCTATACCTAAACTTGCGAAAAAGGAGTTGATATTGTTTTTAAATTACTGTTTTGAGCCGTTTGGGGTCGAAACACTTGGGCCATGGGGTCCCAGTGCACACTCTGTTTTTAAAGAAATCGCCCGTAGGCTAATCGACTCTGAATCAAAATTGTGTAACGAAATATTGATTGCAATATTTTGTGTATAACAATACAATTCATGCCAAAATATTGAAATTTGATGAAAGGGAGACTTTAGAAGCCTAAGAAAATTTCTTTTTTATGCTCAGTAAGTGAAGTTATCAATCCGCCGAAAGCCGAATATTCATCCTTAACTTTACAATTAAACCGCAACACTACATTAATGTATGTGTAACGTAGCGAGGTGTGGAAAGCGATGGGTCTCGTTGCATACAACAAACTAGTTGGCAGTATCGGCAGAGCCAGGGGCCGGATATTCAAAAAGAAGTGAGTCTTGCATATGCCGAGTGATTTTTTGAGGTGCGACTGCTCGGCCTACAGGAGTATAGATTGAAGGGAGGGTAGATTTTTGTTATTGGTTGAATGTGGTTAAACAATATTTTATTTTTTTGACAATGTTTTTAATTTGTAGACTTCATTTAAAATATATAATTAAAGCCAAGTTGTATATTTTAAGAAAAGATTGATGACTGTTGAAGTGTCGATGAAGCTAATGAGGTATGTAGGAATGGTAGTTATTGGCGTTCTATAGTCTCTGTCTACTCCCATAGGAGACAGGAATGAAGTTATGTATGTATATATGAAACATTCACTGTCGTGAATATTTATTTGAGTGAACCAACTGATATCACCTTAATAGACAGATTAGTAAATTGATTAATTTGGCTTTATTTTTAAAGGTAAATTTTATCTATCTTTACGGTTCATTGATTTAGGGACTGACATTGTTCAGAGGTCACGAAGTTCATTCCCAGGCGATATTCAAACTCAAACTCAAAAGCATTTATTTCAACTAAACTATAATTTGGTACTTTTGAAACGTCAACAAATATGAAATAAACAATAGTCTGTCAGTCTGTCCGTCAGTGAAGCTAGGCTATTTAGAATACTAGGATACTAGGATAATAGGTAGTCGAACGGTCACACCTCTACATGGGCTGGGATTGGCTAATTGGCTGGTGATAGGCATATGCTGTACCTACTGCTTTCATCATCATCATTATCATCATTAACGGAGAATGTTACTGTGACGTAAATCTGTGCTGGGCGTAATACTGCCTCGTCGGCCGAGTGGTCGCAAGTGCGACTGCCGGGCAAGGGGTCTCGGGTTCGATTCCCGGGTCGGGCAAAATATTACTGGGTTTTTAAAAAGAAAATCTCAGTAGTAGCACGGAGTCTGGAAATGTGCCCGGTATATGGCAATAGGCTCACCCCCTATTACATGGGACTCATAACATAAATAGTGAAAATGGGTGTTACTTCTGTGTGCACCTCACACCACACCTTTTATCCCCGAAGGGATAGGCAGAGGTGCACATTATGTAAAATAAATTGGGATTACGGCAGATCATAAACTAATTGTCATATTAACATATTTATAATGTTCTAACTTTAACCGAAGCTTTGCAGCTGTATACTAAATTGGTTATGGAGCTAAACTAATATGATTTAATTTACTATTAAGCCGCGTTTTTTACTAGTAGACATGTCGCGGAGACATCGCCCGATATTCACGTGATCTTCATCAACAGACTATAAATGCCCACTGCTGAGCAAAGCCTCTCCTTACACGGAGAAGGTTTGAGCATTAACCACCACACATGCTCAATGCGGGTTGGCAATTACAAACTTATAATTAGAAACTATAAGTCCAGGTTTCCTCACGATGTTTTCCTTCACCGTTTGTCTAGATATTCTTATAATGTACATGTAATTCGGAAAAAGTCACATTGGTACTTGCCGTTGGTAGGTTTCGAACCCGCACTCTCATGCATGAGAGGCGGGGGCGTCTTAAACGTCTGGACCACCATGACATCTTCACGTTTCTTCATCTTCACACTTACGTGGTATGTCTCTGCAACTTTGTGGGACAATGTCGCTCGACATTTCGCTTGTTTACATTGGCCAGTTGTGATCAGTATGTCGCCCGAGGAGTCAGTATTCTCGTTGCACCACACTACTGCCATTTCCAGAACACAAAGTGTCTCGCTACTCAAGGCCTGTCCAGCGACTGTCGAAGGACACGCAGTTGCGCGACCCGTGTCCCGACGTCGGGCGATATCGTGCGGGACATGTGAATTTCGTGTGGAGCCACAGAATCACGGAACAAATGTCTCCCTTTTTATTTTAAGAGGGGAAAATCATCGAACGATTTCTCCCACCTGGGTGAGGCGGGAGGAAGTGTCAGACTCTTACTGACTAAAAACCACCTCGTTCCTTCTCTTGCACTTCGAGCCGGAGCCCCAGTAACCCGTTAGGTTCTCCGCGACAAATGCCCCCCTAGTCCTAGTGAAAATGCGGCTTGAATGGTAACAATTAAAGTTGTTGTAGCTTTGAAGGCATTTATTAAGGCTTAAACATAGGTTCTTAAAAAAAGTTTATGTGCATTTTTTTGACGGAAGCATGATTTCTACTTATTGTATGAATGTTTTTATAATAACTATCGTGAGACATACTAAATTAACTAGAAGTCACGGGTTTCTTACGTGAAAATTTTGAGAAAAGCTCTACTAGTTTCGCTATACTAGTAGTTTGCGCGACATCGCCACGACCGCGCACGCTGCTCACGAGGAAGAACCCCTCTGTGGTTTGAAACTAGTAGAGTTTTTCTCAGTATTTTCACGTGAGTAACCAACGATTTTTAGTTAATATTGTATGAATGGTTAGTTTTTTCAAGATGTCAAATTATTCAATAGAGTTTTAACTTTTAAAAAATCTTCTAAAGATAAATTATTAACATTTTGGGCAAGGTATTTACGAAATTATAGATTCTACGCCCAGGTGGCGTATTATGACGTATTAAACCCAGAGTAGTTCCGCTTAGGAAACGAGATCTCGCTAGACGACTTGTATAGCTCTGAGGCCTTAGTACGAGTTTATTTTAAGCATAAAGTAATCGTAACGAGTACACGTTCGGCGCTCTGATTGGTTGCTTTATTGGTGCCGGCCAATCAGATTGCCCAACGCATACTCGTTTCGAATATTTTAAACGTAAATCAAACTCGTAGTAAGGCCTCTGTTTCTTTCCCTCAATGGAACCATTCTAACTTTAGGACGTCATAATAACCCCAATGGTGTATATGAAAAATTTGGAAATTCCGTTATTTAAGGATGTTTGTTCGTTTTTGTTTATGTTTAAAGTTGTAATTTGTTTGTTTATAGTAAAAGCAAGAGGAACGGTATAGTCACGAATCCCGCTATGCGGCTGGTCGCCAACGTCAGAAATGGACTCGGTGAGTGCATAACATAATCATTTTTACCTAGAATTCGTACGATTGTAACAGTTTCATAAACTAAAGAATAGTTGATTACCTAATTGAGTAGTTGACTGGGTAAGAAAATTAAAAATCTAATTAATCCGTCAGTAAGATAATGAAAAAATATTAGACACGTATTTTAAAAATGTGATACTTAGATATAACTAACCAAAGTTTAGGACTGGGGGCTAAAACGTCATTTCAACGTATAAAATGTACATAGAAGTGACGTCACGCGACATTTTAAATCAATATATCGTCGAAAGTATTCGTTTCTGTAAGAAAATAAAAAATACGTGTCTAATGATTTAAAATAATCTACCAGACGGACATTAAAATAAAAATTAGGTATCTACCCTATTATATTTAAACTTCGTAAGACCAGTAAATATAAAAGTAATAAATAAAAAAGTAACAATAATCTATCATTGTTTCAGATAATGCAGCCGCGAATATACGACGAACAGGCGTAGCTCTAGCAGCTAGCGCCAGCTCTGCCAACCCCGCAGTCAAAACGAATGCTTTCCAATGGAGAAAAGAGACACCACTATAAGAAAGAGCGAAACGAACGAACGGTACAAGCTTTTTCCATTCATACAGCAATTGAAAAACACGTTCAGTTCTGATATTGAAATTATTCTCGATTTTCGTTATGGCCCCCGGTCGAGCTTGAAATCAGTCGGGCGTGCTCGAAAATGGTGTTTCGAAAATTGACGTAATCTGTCTTGCATAGTGTTGCCAGTCGGTTTTTGTTGACGCAAAAGTTTTTTTAGTCTGGCAATTTAAAGATGATTTGTACATTTGTTATTAACATTTTGTGATTTCGTTTTTTGTAAAAATGACCTATTTTGGTTTTAATTATGTAAATATAATGTTTAAGGCTCTATTTTATTAGTATTACTATTGATAGGTGAGTAGTTAGAAGTCTAGCTGGCAAGTATGAGATTATGGATTCGATTCCCTAGCCTAGCAAGTATTCATTGTGATTATCTATCAGTAGGCGCAATTGTCGAGTATGAAGTCCTGAATTTGATATCTGAGGGCCAAGCACGAATAACCATCGCATTCGTATCGTAACAGTATCGAGCGAGTTAAGCGTTCTGATTGGTTGGTTCACTTGAGCCGGCCAATCAGAGCGCCGAACGCGCTCGATACTATTACGTTACGAATGCGATAGTTATACGTGCTTGGTACTCTGGTCGAGTATTATTATTATGTATGTCTTTACCATTCACGGGACCACAGGGTCCCGGTCATTTGGGAGGCGTACGAGGGGCCGAAGCCAACTGCGCAGAGGCCCTTTAGACAACTTTAATATAAATGTAATGGACACACAAACCGGCGACTATCCCTGTATGCACTATGGAAATGCACCCAAGGACAGTCCCCGGTTAGTGTAGGACTATTGTGAATAATGGAAAAAAAAGGGGTAGGGCTATGGATGGGTTGCTGTGGACTGGTAAATTGGGAACTATGGATGACTATGACACCTGCCGAAACAATGTAACTTTTACACGTAAAAATGGCAGGCGGAGACTCGCCAACTCACCGACCGGGCCCCGGGAATGGTTGCTAGATATAGCAAAAGAGGGGCAACGAGAATGTGAGTGGCTGAAGGGTTAAGAAACTACCACCGCTTTCTACTCAGATCATCTGCTCCAGCCGAAGCTTTCTGCATCCCTGGCCCACTCGCGACTTACGAATAGTTTCTTACCCTCCGAGCAGGATCACTGCTCTCGCGACTCCACTCTGGACGGCCAATGAAGGCAAGCCAGAGGTGGGAGACCTGTTCCTTGCCATCTTTCACTCCAGCCAGCCAATTAAGGCAAGCCGGAGAAGAAGGAACGGTGACTTCTCCCTGGAGCACTCGGGATGATGGTAGCCCGCGGGATCGCTAATGCCCGTCACCTCGCCTCAAGGTGCCCTGCGGGCTTATTATTATTATTATTGATGATTTGGATATATAAACGATTATTTATAGCAAAGAATCTCAAATTGTGCCATTTGCATTAAATATAATACTAATGAAAACCACTTCTGACTGTTTGTATGAGGAAACTAGCTACTCCCGCGCGACTTCTCTCGCTGTTCGGCTTCTATTTATCGTAGCTGTACAGTTAATTTTTGTTTCAAACGTTTTATTCCTTTGTAAAACTATTGTATTACCGAGACAGAACCATTTTGCTTCGGGACGAAAACGAAATAGATTTCATTTATGTTTAACTAGCTTTTACTCGCGGCTCCGCTCGCGTCACAAAAGGATAAAAGTAGCCTATACCAATACACACAGCGCCATCTATACCAATTCTTTTGTTTTCCCTCGGGAATACCAAATTTTCCGGGATAAAAAGTACCCTATTATTTAATCCGGACTTCTAATTTTACGTCTGCAAAAATTCAAAGCAATCGGTATAGAAGTTACGGCGTGAAAGCGGAACAAACAAACAAACAAACTCACTTTCCCATTTATAATAGTAAGGATAAGTAAAAGACTTAGCATTAATATCATTTGAAAGTATTTTATTAATAAAATAGGGCCTTAAACTACCGTGATTGTACTCAACAAACAAATATATAATATGTATTTAGTCAATATATATATAAATGACATATATATAATTGGGTACTTGCTAACTAGTCAAATTCAATACTTTTTTCGAACTGTCAAAAACGACAGTTTTCTATGAATTTTGTACGAGATTGTGTATTGTGACGTCACATTTTTTTATCGTCAAACAGTATACTTATTTCTTGAAAATTTGCTGGAAAAATACTAAAATTGAGTTGGTCATAGAAGCAATTAATGAAAGTGTGATTATTTTTTAATATTTTCTTGTAATGAACAGTCGAAATAATATATTTTTGATTAAGGAAATTGCCCGATTGAATATAATATATAATGGGGTCTACTGTATTTTCCGAACCAGATGGCACTACTGTAAACCTCTCGTTTTTCGTCCAATATGGAATTAGCTTGCGTCCCACAATAGGGTAGATGACTAATTTTCATTTTAATGTCCGTCTGGTAGATTATTTTAAATCATTAGACACGTATTTTATTTTCTTACAGAAACGAATACTTTCGACGATATGTTGATTTGAAATGTCGCGTGACGTCACTTCTATGTACATTTTATACGTAGAAATGACGTTTTAGCCCCCACTCCTAAACTTTGATTCGTTTTATCTAAGCATTGTTTTCTTATACGACAAAATGAAAAAATACGTGTCTAATATTTTTTCATTATCTAACTGAGGGATTAATTAGATTTTTAATTTTCATACCCTGTCATCATGCCTATTGGACGTTCAATATTTGACATCTGCATCTGATTGGACAAATAAACAAGTGCTACATTTGCACCATGTGGTTAACAAAAACACGGTAGGCCTGCATTGATTGGTATTTGTTTATAATATTATTAAAATTATAATTCAAAGCAGGTTTCGATAACAGGTAGGCCTAACTTCATTGCAATTTAAATACAAGGTGTAGTTTTGATACCGAGTCATTTCTCGGGGGCATGTCACAGAAGTCATAAAGGTGAAAGGTGAAGTCAAAATGTAAGAGAAAGTTTCGGGCCAATAGTTAAAAATATGGCTATAATAAATCGTTTAAGTTCGACAGTATTTCAGAATAAGCGACAGCAATGTTTCTTATTGGAAGTTTTATGGAATTAGGAATAATATCAATTACGTGTTTGAGTTTGTGTGTGTTTTAAGCCGCGTTATAAAGCTAGTTACAAGACGGCGGCATGTACCTCGCACTTACGGATTTCCGTAATTTCAGATCAATGAAAAATATTTACCTACAATTTTTTTATTGATTCGGACTCAGAATCGATATCCGAGTTACCTCTTAGAAAATGACGCGGATTTAAAACAACACCTTGTATATTAGTATTGACCTGTAAACTATCGGAACGCAGATCTATGTGAGACACAATATGTTTTTTATTGTGTCTCATATACCTGCCGGTATATGTCAAGAGGTTAATATTGAAAATTCCAAATAATAGAAAATCTGGATTGATTGCCGATTGAGGTATTATATTCGATTTTGCGGGTGGGAGTTGTGAAATTCTCAGATTAATGAAATTTTCAGTATGTGTTAACAAGTGGCTTTTCAGTTACTATAATCACAGTTTTCATCAACCATCTCTTAACTAAGTCTCTTAAGTAGTCGAACACCTGAACTAACCCTTACTTGTACTGTTAGGTGTCACTTATAGGTTGGTAATAACGAAAATGTCGGTAAGAGTCACCTATATGACCTTAATGGTTCCTTAAAAGTTGAGACTGGTCGGTGAAAACAAACAGTAATGTATCGTAAAAATAATCTATCTAAGGATCGAATATAAGACCTCAAGATCGGCATTCGCTCTTAAAGACAAAATGCTTTACAAAACATTCTTTTTTATATTATATTTTTACAAAAAAACACAAAAAAAATATATCAGTATTATTATATAAAAAAAAAATGAATTGGGAACATTTGTTATTTTTGCATTTCTTTTTTTATATTTGAAGCAGTACAATTTTTTTTGAAGTTGATGTTGCATTTAGTTTCAATCAACTCTGTCTACCCCCTTTGGGGTATGAAAGGCGTTATGTTATGTACTCAAAATATGAATTTGTTACTTATGAGTGTATTTTATTGATATACTACCTTCTGCCAGCGGCTTCGCCAGTCAAAGTCTTATTTTCTTATATTTTTTTTAAAAACTTTGCCCCACACTTGGGTTTTCTTCTGTGTCGTGGATGCGTTGACAAACATACAATTTCATATACACACACACCCAGATCCGAAACAACAATTTATGGATCACACAAAGTGTTGTTCCGTGCGGGAATCGAACCCGCGACACGTTGCACGTCAGCCGGTTGCCCAGCCACCGCACCAACCGTGCAGTCAGAGCATAAAGTCAAAGCATTTATTTCAATTTAACCATAATTTGGTACTTTTGAAACGTCAAGATACAAAATAAATGATAGTCTGTCAGTCTGTCCGTCAGAGAAGCTAGGTGCTCATTCCAAAATGTAGATTCGAATGGAGAAGAACGAACAAGAATTCTTTACTCTTTTAAAATGTATATATAAAGTAGCTCATGTGTTATTCCAGACCATAGCCTATCCCTGTTCCAAATTTCATCCCGATCCCTTCAGCCGTTTTGACATGATTGAGTAACAAACATACAGACAAACACACAAACTTTCGCATTTATAACATAATATATAAATATATATAATATAGTTAGCTATATATCTAACTATATATAACTGTCTCATTGACCAAGTGGTCGCAAGTGCGACTGCCAGGCAAGGGGTCTCGGGTTCGATTCCCGAGTCGGCCAAAGTATTACTAGGTTTTTCTCAATCTGCAAAATGGACGGAGTCTGGAAGTGTGCCCGGTATATGGCAGTAGGCTCACCCCCTATTACATGGGACTCATAACATAAATAGTGAAAAGTGGGTGTTACATTGTACAGTGGCATTAAGTGCCGTAATGTGCTCCTCTGCGTACCCTTAAGTGGATAAAAGGCATGATGTTAT